ATGACATGAGACCAGGGAACACCTATAAGATCTGTTAATAAAGTACTTTTACAGGACTTGGTATTTCAGCTGGGACTTAATAGTTCAGTGTCTTACTTCCCCGGGACAATTCATCCATGCTGCCCAGATCACTAAACCCATTCTTGTAATCTGGTTTTTCACTTGCTGCAGAGCAATCCTTTCAAATACATACACAGCATCAGCTTTGTTGGTATACTAACAAATTGTCAAAATCTCATGTAGATAAGTCAGTTCTCTGAGTCTGAAATCTCATCTAGAAAGTGAAAGATTTTAAGATGTTGACAGTGAGGCCCTCCCTGGTGGCATAAAGGGTTAAGTCTCAGCACTGCAAAGCTGCTTCAGTGCAAGTTTGATCCCTGCCCCAGAGGTGACCCACATGGTGCAGCAGACCTCTCTTGTCCCACCTGCTGCTCCCCTCCATCTCTGGTAAATCCTCTCACCTCTGACCTGTACCCCAGTTCTGTATGCATAATACAGTATGGCTAAAGGATAACAAGTCTCTAGACCCATACTTTGATATTATTTAATAGATAAACACATGATTGATTTTTTTAGTATTTAGATAATAGCTTACCAACTGCCTGTATCTCAAAAAAGGACCCTATGTAAAATAAATTAGGCCATATACTGCCCTCTAAAAACTTAACAGCAAAATTAAAATTATAACCAACACATACAGGGAAAGTAAAGGACACAGTTCTTCACCTTGACACAAAAGCTGGAAAATGAATTTTGTACTGGCTTTCCAAGTAAGTGTGCGTTCATCTCCAAATTTCTCATAGATTTAGCTAATACCAGACCCCGGAGGCAAAGCCCAGGCTGTCTACCATCAGACAGTAGGTGATGGCTCCATCAAGTAGATCAGAAGGTGAAAATAAATTACTATGAAATGGCATGTCTCAGAAAAGGAGTGTCTTGTGTAAATGACTCCTTCTCCCCTAAGAACCAATGAATATGACTGAGATGTGCATTAGTTTTTACTGTACTGGGGAATCTACTTTAAACCACTCATTAGGCTTCACTTTTATTGGTTCAAATGTATATTTATTTAAAAGGGGACTAAACCAGGAGAACCACCGCACAACACACCCCTTTAAACAAAACTAGCTGAAGCAATTTCCAGCTGGGCTTTTAAGAAACAGTTCTCTCAGCGAGTAGTCTGGAATTACTTGTGGATTACTGCAGGGCCTGTCTAATGTTAACAAGTTAAACGCTCCTGCTCCCCTATTACAACCTAGTTTTCCGTTCAAATAAATTTAAAATGTCTTCATTTCACTCCTTTCTGTGCCCACAATAATTTTTTCTCTCTCTTCTTACAGACAGACGGCACCATCCGGCCTGGGGTCACAAGTACAATTAAATGCGGAGGTTCTCTGCCAGGAGCTCACCGCCAACATAATGAAATTAGAGAAGGTGACTCATTTCTCTCCTGTGTTTGGGGCCAATCACTGATGCGCATGTCGCCTGCCATACATCAGGGGTTACACACTCAAGTGGGGGTACAGCAGGAAACCTAAATGGCCACCACTGGCCAGAGGATGCATGATACATGCATAGAAGTTTTTTATTCCATGAAAAATAAGTGGGTTTTCACCTCATTTTTCTTGTTGATCTACCTTTTGCCTTTCCTCTTTCATTAGGAGTATTTCTCTGCACTACAGGGCCTGGTGCCCACTGTCACAGACTCACTAAGAGCCCCTGGAAGGAGTGTCCCAAGCTGACAGTACTGGCCCAGGTCTCCCTGGTCTGGGGTGACCCTCATCAGCTATTGCTCCAAAGTTGTGCTAAATTACCTGCTCTGCTGTAATGCCTCCTCGAGTCCAGTCTTGGGCCTGGTGATGCCCTCACCTCTAAAAGCATGTTCCTACAGGGAAACCAGAGGACAAACCTGCCTTGTGCTTCTATTATTCTTACAAGTCAAGTGGAAATGAACACGGAGAGGCACGCTAGAAACAGCTCCAAGTTTAACCTGATTCACCTTTCTGCTTGTCCTTTCAACATTTTCACCCCTTCCAATCTGGTCATTTGATTTTACACTAATGCTTAATGAAAGACTTAGGGTGAAGTGTCCAGTTAGAACTGCTATCATAAATGCCCAGTATCTAGTAACACTCCTTAACCTAAGTAATCTTATGTTTACTTAAAAAGAATCATGAAGTACAAGTAAGTCAAATTATCTTTTCTGTACCTGATATTATCTGGCTTTGAACCACAGCAGTTTAAGAGTAAAGGCAGTTCCAGACTTCTGTTCTGAAGGAAGGCCAGACAGATACTTCTTATTAAATCATTCTGTCTATGGGCAAACTTGGGAACTTTTTGTAAGTCTAAAAATCAACCTCAAGAAATATGGGGTTTCAACCAGCATTTTCTCCCTTTCTTTAATTTGCTATTTCTCAGAATTAAGGAGTTTTTGTAAATGAAATGATTACAAATGTTTCATGTCATGCTGACCTAGCAAATGGAGTGAGCATAAATTTGTATTTCGCTGACTGACATACAAGTGGTAGTGTCTGAGCCAGAAACAGAATCCAGCTGTCTGCTTTTACATTTCTTCTCCTTCAGAGCCTAGCCCACACACCACTTTCTATAGTAAGGGACAAAGGTGTCACACAAGACTCTGGGTAGAAGTCAGCTGCTCGGCTTAGGGGCCTACATTCCCAACACAAACCACCTTTGTCCCTAAGCAGAAGCAATAAAATGCAGATAGAGGAATCAAAGTAATGTTTGAGTTCTAACAAGTTGTATGCTGCACCGTGGTGCATAATCTTTAAGCACACAAAGTTACCAGCACACACAGGTTCTTTTTTGACTGGTCCACTCCAAAGAGGCAGTAAAGCAGCAGAGTCTGGCAAACAAGTAGCAGCTCCCCATCTTCACTCAACACCAGAAATTCCAGTCTGCTCTCCTGCAGGCACTCGTCACATCTGCGGATCAGCCCTTGGCTTCTAACTTCCCGGTTTCTGTTCATAGCTTCACTGCCCTTCCATGTGTCCTCACTAGACAGTTAAAAATACTATTCCTTCCTACCTCTTTCACTTGTCAGTGATTATTTAGTTAAAATCATAAATCTCTCTTTCACATGTCTCTTTCCCGCCACCCCACACCTGGTCCCTGTCCACCCACCTCACAGAATGAAATTCATCTCATCGTGGTTTTTATTGGTATTTTCCTAATTCCTCCTGAGGTAAAACAGCTTTTTATATTTGTATTGGTCATTTGGGTTTTCTTCCATAAATAACATACTTGTCTTTGCTTTATTTTTGGATCTCTTGTTTATCTTTAAAAAATTGTATGAATTTACAATATTTAACTGTGTGGGGGGCTCAAAGATCAACCACATGTTAATGGAACAAAACCCACATGTGAATGGACCCAAACAGGTCAAAAATCAGCTGTGTTAGGACAGCAGCCCTTTTTTTTTTTTATCTTTCTACTCCTGCTTTTCCATTCATCTTTGGTGCTGAGGGGTAGGTGGATAACATATGAAGTGGGAATATGAAGGATGAAAAGCAGTGCCTTGGATGGATATGGAAATAGATACCTTTGTTAGCACAGGAAAGGGTATTAATGGTGGAGTAGTCAGGCAGAAAGAACATAAATATTGGAGTTGGCGGTTGTTCTTCACCCTACCCAGCTACTCACTTCCTGTGTAACTGGTATTGTGATGTAGCCTCTCTGGCCCTCAGGTTCAGTGTCAGGGCTTCTCTGTGTGGTCATGTTTGCTGGAGGTGAACATGCATCAAATTCCTGGCCCACACCTGTTACACCTCCCCCTCTCAACCAGCGTAAGCTTGTTGTTAGCTCACGCACTGTTCCGTCTGCTGATCGTGTATTGGAGGCTGCAAATTCCTTGCTCTGAACTCTTCAAAGTTCATTTTCAACATTCACTGAACACAGTTGTCATACCCAACACCTGACTGTGGTTCTGAGATCTGAAGCTATGACACAGTCCCTTTGAAGTTCACTGTTCTGGGAAACGTCATATTCTGTAGAAATGTCAATCATCAGCATGTGGGTGTTTGTCAGGTGGTCTGAAAGGGCTCTGTAAAAACCAGGACCCCTCTGTCTCTAAATGCACTTTGGTCACACCTGGGGCATTACCAGGGCTTTTCTTCTTATTCCTCCCTCAGATTCCACTCTGTCTCTATTGACATTTTCATCTTTGTTCACTCTTTCTTTAGCCCTGTCTCTTTTCTTTTGAAAATGCATTAGTCCGTTACAATAGAAAGAATCTATGTGTCTCATCTAAATGTGTCTCTTTTCTTTTGAAAATGCATTAGTCCGTTACAATAGAAAGAATTTATGTGTCTCATCTAAATTTAACCCATATGTAGCTTTTATCAGAATAGATTAATCTCAAGCATTATATAAGCCCTAGCAAACATGCCCTTAATATGCCTCATTACACTTGATAACAGGCACTTCTCTTTCATTATTTGAAGATACAAAACAACTTACAAAAGCTGCTTGAAAATGGTGACTGACCAACCAGATTGCTACCTCGCACTTCCCTTTGAAGACTGTGCTCCCCAAGAACGCCCCCCCCCCAGCGGAGTGCTCCCTGCTGGCCAGAGGAGCAAATGGACCCACATCCCCAGCCACATTTGCACTTGGAGGTCACCTTGCTCAGGAAGATGGGGCAAAGGAGAGTAATTTTGGTTCCTGTGCAATAAAAGTTGACCTTGACTCTGAGGAAGTTTTCACTGCTGCTGCCTGAAGAAAACAGAGCCTTCTCTAGAGGTCTCAGGAAAGCCCAGAGGACACTTGGATGGCTGTAGTCCAGCAACAATGGTGCCGTCGGCAAACACTCCACTCCATGCCTTTCCAATCATTGCCACCCTCCTCTTCTCTCCTTGACACCCTCTTAACAAACCTTCAGTTACGGATCTATAGTGTGCCAACAACCTTGATACCGTCCTGGAGAGAATTAGCCATGATTCCAAAAGGCAATGATGGCTCTAATGGTGTTATCTGAAGCAAGTCTGTCCAACAGTTTGTCTTTTTTCCTTTCCACTGTTAACTTCTATTTTAAATCACATGGCTGTCTTAATTTCTCATTCGAGTGCATTATTAAGAATAGCTGGCAATGCAGACTAAATTATGCCATCTATGTTTTGTCATATTCCGCTAGCTAATACTTAATTGGACTGATCTCACCTACCCCAGGCCAAGAATCTGTATGACGTGGTCAGAAGTACTAAATTTAAATTATTCTAAAACCAAAACTAATCTTTAAACCAAAAAATACATAGCAGTTATTTGACAGAGAATGAAGACATGAACTTTTAAGATTGTAAGTTCTAGGACCTAAGACATTTGAAAGCAGTATGTCTCTATTGAATGCTGAAACCCACTTCAGCATTTAAATAGCAAGTTTTCTCTATTGCTGACTAAAAGAGATGGTGGTTTGCTAACTTCTATTTATCATATGGGTTGGCTGGTTTTTATTAATTATTTAGGTACCATAAATCTATAATTGTGAAAGATATGCTCTTTCTATCTGCAATGCATTTTATAATCATTTCTATGAAATGTATTTTGTTTAATCAGATATGCTAATAAGTGAATTGGTTATATCATTTGTATTTGTTAGCCTCCTGGACAAGAACTGTGCCTGGTGCACCTCTGGCTTTTAATAAATACTCATTGGTTAAAATGCCCTACTAAACCTGTGTTTGGTCAGTTTGTAAATTTTTTTTAAAACTAAGACAATATGTTTTTTTAGCTATAGCTTACCTCTTCATTATTTTTTTTTTAACACTCCATACTTCTTTCCTCCCAAGGATTATTTTCAAAACTTAAAAAGATTTGGCTAGTTTCCCCCATTTTATTGATGAGGTCGAAAATAGCAAACACAAGTGTTACTGTGAGGACTTAGTGTGAAAATAGCTCTGAAGCACACCACCATATATGTTAAGTAATAAAGTGATAATAAGCACCATATTTTTTACAATAGGACATTCCAGTTTTATACATGCTCAATGCTTCCTAGTTAAAACCCACTAGGTAGTCAAGAATTGAACAGCCACCTCAAGTGAAACTCTACAAATGAGATTTTACAAGTTCAAATTTCACTGAACTAATAATTTGCCACCTAAAAATTTATCCTTAACCACTCAGAGATCTCAAAGATTTATATACAAGAATATTCTTTGGAGTTTTCAGACAGCAACATTTCTTGCATGCATACATAATTTTTTTTTAAATGACTACTGTATACCTTGTATACTTAAAATTTGAGTATTGCTCGTTTTAGAATCGGGGGATAAAACTTAAGGGCTTAGTGATTATCATGCTATTTCTGTGCATTGTGATATTTTAATCTGTGATTAAGGTGATTAGAAATTAAAAGTCTCTCAAAGTGGCAACATTATCAACTTCAAGACACTTTCCTAGGTATATTCTACAACACTTAAAGGCTTTCCCAGGTTTTGCATTTATGTAATTCTTTGAAACCAACCCAGACATTTTCCCTGTCTTTTCCTTGACGTCAAGTCATCATAATTCATAAAAGCATGGAGATGCACCCAAAAATTGGTAAAATTCAGGCGATAATTTCCTTGTTTATGTTTCTTTCCTATTAACCACTATGTTGTGGACACTTACGTTATAGATAATCCAGGTGACTTTGCTTCCAAGCATTTTTCTAAAAATTAAAATTCTACACATATTAAACATATTACCATTGGGATTATAAATCTAATTTGCTCACAAAGGAGCTCAGTGATACAATATTCAGCCTACTATGCTTATCATGCTTATCATGATAAAACCAGTTTTGACAAAAAAAAAAAAGGCAGATATTAAATCAAGTATCTGAATTTCTAGCACTTCATTGCTTAAGCCAAAGCAATCTAAGATTCAATGTAATCTATATTAAACACCAGTGGCAGTTTTCACCGACAAAGAACAAGCAATCCTAAAGTTTGTATGGCACCACAGATGATCCAAAATAGCCTAAGCAATTTGAGAAAAATCTCAGACTCTCTATTTTCTGACTTCAAATGAATGCAAGTCTATAGTAGTCAAAACAATATGGTGACGGCATTAAAAAAAAAAAAACAGATGAATGCAACAAAATGTAAGCCCAGAAATAAACCCATTTACACATGGTCAATTAATTTACAAGAAAGATGACAACATGCTATGGGGAACAACACTCCTCAGTAAGAGGGGCTGGAAAACTGGATGCAAACACATGCAAAAGAATAAACTGGGCCTATCTTATGCCAGACACAAACACGAACTGAAACCAAAGATATAAATATAAGACATGAAGCTACAATAATAGAAGAAAACAGAAAATGTTGATGATCTTTTGGATTTGACAGCAGAAGCAAACATAAACAAGTGGGATTATCAAATTAAAAAGCCTCTGCCCAGCTAAGAGAACCACCATGAAAATTAAATTGTAACATAGAGACCGGATGAAAATATTTGTAAATTGTGTATCTGATATGGAGCTCATGTCCAAGATGTAGAAAGAATTCATGCAATTCAGTACTAAAAAATGTATGATTTTAAAGAAGCAGAAGTATTTGATAGATACTGTCCCAGAGGTCCCAGAGGCAGACATACAGATGGTCAACAGGTACATGAAAAGATGCTTATCACCATAAATCATAAGGCAAATACAAATCAAAGTGAGGTAACACTAATCAGAAATACTCGCATCAAAAAACAGGAGTATTGACAAGTGTCGGCAAGGGTGTAGAGCAAAGGGAAACCTTGTGCAGTTACTGGGACTATAATTGGTTCAGTCACTATTAAAAAAGATATGGAGTTTCCTAACACATTATAAATGGAGCTACCATATGATCCACTGGTTTCACTTGCACGTTATTTATGTGAAGAAAATGAAACACTAACTTGGCCTGTATCCAGAGAACGACAAAACAGTAGTTCACAGAATACGTGTTTCTGCGTTCCCGGCAGCATTACTGGCAAAAGCCAAGACATGGAAACAACCCAAGTGTGTACCACCATAGGGTGAATAAATTATTCCAATTAAATGGAATATTATTCTGTTATTAAAAAGCATGAAATAATAAAAATAGGCATGAAATCTTACCATGTGAGACAACCTTGGGGGCACTATGGTAACTGAAATAAGTCAGACAGAAAAAGATACCATTTAATCTCACTTACAGGT